CTATGTGGGCATTTGGGGGGAATATGGAAACCTAGTGCAGTGGAAACTTCTTGGAATCTATGAGGGTGACCCCTCCAAGGGCTCCTAGAGGATATGGAGCCTGAACAGGCTGCACTCCCAGTGGTGGAAATGGGACATCAACTCAGGCACAGAGCTGTTCTGCCTACAAGATACTCTGGAACACTGATGACCCAGAGCTTGTGGGAGTGGCCAACCAATGACCAGTCTAACTTGAGACAGAAGCCAAAAGAAGGAGCCCATGCCATGCACTGTATGAATGAATGTCCAGGAACTGGAAGCTGGATGATTCAGAAATCTAAGGTAAAACCAAACACAATTGACTGACTGACTGACTGACTGAATAAATGAATAAAATTAATGAAATGATTCCTAATGATATTCTGCTATGCTATGGTTCCTAGCCCAATCATCAGCAGAGAGGTTTCCTCAAGCAGCTGATGGAAGCAGATGCAGAGACTCGGTTTGTCAAATTCTCAATAGTGAGCTCTTATTTTTCCTTGCATTAATATTTTTTTAGTCATCCTCTATTTGTATCATATTTATAGTCACTTTAATTTTTATTCAATCTACTTGTAGAGATATTTACTAAATATTACCAAATGCATGCAATACTTTTGTAAGTTTGTAATAAGCAGAATCTTTAATGGGACATGAATATTTAAAGCATAACAATATTTTGATGGGGGAACGTCCTTCTGTATATATGTTTCTCTTATTGGTTGATGAATAAAACACTGTTGTCCAATAAGGAAGTAAGATAGGAGGGACTAGCAGATGAGGAGTATTCTGAGAAAGGTAGCAAAAGAGATGCAGATAGGATAGGATGTGCCAGATGTCTCTGGTAAGATAAGGCCCTGTAGAAATATAAAGATTAATAGTCATAGGTTAATAATTAAAACAGAGCTAGCCAATAAGAAGCCCTAGTATTGGTCAACAGTTTTATAATTAATATAGCATCTCTATGTGTTTATTTGATGCTCAAATGTGGTTATGGGACTTGGCGAGAAAGAAATCACCAGCAACAATATTTTATTTGTTTAAAAGACAGGCCTAAAAGGTTTCAATGAAAACTTCTCATTGGGAAAAGCCCAAATCTATCACCATGCCTTGAAACAGATTGCTTTAAACTATTCCAACAGCCTGTCCCATTTGACACTGCTTTATAATTGGTGAGCTCTTAAGCAAAGGCTCTCCAAAAAAAAAAAAAAAAAAAAAAAAAAAAATCTTTTTATGTACTCTTTAGAAACTTCCCTTCCTAGTAGTAAGCAAAGTACTTACTGAATTACAAAATAGTGTGCTAAAACATAGTGTGTTCCAAACATACAAACCCTTTTCTTAGGAACAGCATAAAGTAAGTAGTGTATTCATGTCACATGGTACATGGAGGTGCTTAGCCTAGTCCAGTGAGTCTTGCCTTTCCAGTCACTTTATGTTCTGACATGGGAGCCTCTTGCTTGAACTACAACTAGATGCAGAGGATACTCGGTGTGTCATTGCTCCATCGAAGTTTGATCCAATCTGACCAAACTTTTTATCTCATATAATGGCTTCTATCATGAGTTCTTTCAATTAATAACTGTGACCTCTGTTGGTCACCTGGGCTGCCGGGTAGCTGACCTGCTATGGACAGCGCTGCTGACATTAGATGGAGATTCCAAATTGGAGATCTCCATTGGGTCCCTCCCCTGGGAGCTCAGGGAGCCCCTAGGAAGAGGCAGAGGAAGAATTTTAGGAGTCAGAGGGCTGGAGGGCATTAAGAGAACACAAATCTACTAAGCTGGGCACATAGGGACAAAGAATAAAGCACAACATGGGTCTGCATGGATCCTCTACAGATGTTATAGTTGTTCGCTTGTTGTTTTTCTTGAACAGTGGAAATGGGGGTGTCCCTGGCTCTTTTGTCTGATTTTGTGACCCTTTTTTACCCTGCAGAGTTGCCTCACCCAGCCCTAATATGAAGGTTTGTGCTTAGTGTCATTGTGAATGGAAAGGTAGGAGGAGTGGATCTGGGGAGAGGTGAGATTTAAGGCAACTGGGAGGAGTGGAGGGAGAGGAACCTTTGGTCAGGTTGTAATGTATGACAATAATAGTGCTGCTGCTGCTGCTGCTGATGATGATGATGATGATGATGATGATAAAAGACTTTGTTTCTGTTCATTTGTTGAGCATGGGAGAACTGCAAATTTACAAGGGTCTCATTCCTAGGTCTACTGTGGACTTACATGGTCCTAAATCAAACCATCAAAGCTTACCACTTCTGGCCAAATAAATCCAAGTGTTTCTTTCTTAACACTGTACTCTAAAAACAATCATTTGTTTCAATGGCAAACTGATGGATTTCAAGCAAACTGTTAAAAGTAGTAATTATACACAAAATACAAACATATTTTTTGGAGTTCATTTGCATTATTTCCTGATCATCTCTTTCTTAAAATGAAAGGGTAATTACCTGGATATATGAAAAAATGCAGCCTTACAAACTAATTCAACTCAGAAAACACTACTCATCCAAGTATAGCCAACCACTCACATTTGGTGGGTGATGCCCTGCCTGTATACTGTGAATGTATATTTGTCTTATTGGTTTAATAACATGCTGATGAGCCAGTAGCCAGACAGGAAGTATAGGTGGGTGTACCCGATTGGAAGGATGATGGGAAGAGAGAGGTGGAGACAGAGCCAACCAGAAAGCAGGATGTCAGGCATCTTCCAGTAACCCAAGACCATGTTGAAAATCTTAGTTTAATAGAAATTGGTTAATAATTAAGAAAGAGGTAGCCAAATAGGAAGCTAGCACCATTGGCCAGTTTATAATTAATATAAGCCTATGTGTGTTTAATTGGGACTAGACAGCTGCAGGACCAAGCAGAATAGAAACTTCCATCTATGTATATTTTACATAAATTTTGTGTATTTGTTCCCAAAGAGTTCTACAATAAAAATAAAATAATATTAGCATTTTGATAATTATGGGAGTATTTTCCTCCTTCAAACAATTATGAAATTCCTTTCATAATTTACATTACAGGTGACAAAACTTTCATAATTTACTGCAGTGTGAGTTACAGTGGCTGCTGTTAGCCTGAACAATAGGATCTAACTTTGTAACACTTGGGCCTGCCTTATTCATGCCAAGAAGCAGTTAACTGTGATAAGACTATTAGAACCTACTATCTCAGAATTGGCCAAGAGGAGGGGAATTTTATGCACGAAAACTTGAGGTCAACACAGGCCTCAAGGTATGCAAAGGGCTAAACCAAAGCTTTACAATTATTTTGGGGAAAAATTGTGTATATCTGTTATGTCATTTGATTCTAAGCATCTGTTGGCCTGCTGATGCTTCTGCTGTCCTGTCTTGACAAGAAAAGAATTCTGTGGCTGAACAGGAAAATATTTCAGAGGGGCATCTTGTATACAAGAAGTATTTATTCTTCCTTAAAATGGTGTCTGCATCTTCAGGCACAGGTCATGGCGCTTTATATATTTTGGAGCATGTGGTGCTTAAGTTAATGGTTTAGACATGAGAACAGAAACTCAAATAGCCAAGGAAATAGAAAACATATAAAAATGCATCTGTCCAATGAAACTTAAAGTACTATATTCTCAAGAACTCATGTGACATGATAAATAAAAGACCCAGAGACTGATATTGGGGTTTAAACTGCAAGCTGAAGATCAGAAATGCAAAGCATCCAGCCACTAGTTCTTACCTCTACCTCCGACTGAAAGACAATCCTGGCTCCACAAACCTCAAACTATAATCCCAGACTTCTTTGCTCTCTTGAACATGTCTGGAGAATGCTGAGACTGAATGCCAGCTATGAGACCTTGCTCCTCTCAGGTGATAGTATCAACAGGCATGAGCTTTGTTACTTTTTGTTCTTCTGTAGGCCATGGTAGCCTTGAACTAACAGAGATTTATCTACCCCTTAATCCTGAGTCCTGGGATTGCACGTGTGTACCACCACTGCCTGATCTCTATAGCTGGAGGTTGACTTTGTTTTCTGAATCCTCAGACAAGCTTTAATAAATTTATAAATAATATATCACCACAAATACTACAGTATGAGAAAGTAATACAGAGGGAATTGATATGTGTCGACACAGATTTTAACTTTAAGAATATGAGTTTCCTACATAAAGGTAACAAGCAGCCTGCTCAAACTCAGGAAATGTAAATACATTTGCTGCAGATCAAGGAAAGGTTCATGTTAAGTGTAAGGCTGACTGAGCAAAAGGAGAACAAAAAGGGGGTGTGGGCGGAGAAGAAGCAAAAGCAATCAGCTCCCATGGGCCTCGGGCACATTCAAAATGTTTTTCACTTTTATTTATTAACAGCAATATTTTTAAAAGTAGTAATGTTTAAAGGAAGTGCTCTAGAGCTGTTTTTTCCCTTTCATTTCCCCTGCCTCCATTTAGTGTTCCCTTCTTTCTTTTCTGTCTTTGTCTCACTCCTTTCTATGTGCATGTTTAAACCATTGACCTACAATGAAAGGGTTATAACTTAAGCACCACATACTCCAAACCATATTTTAAAAAAACACCATGACTTGTGCCTGAAAATGCACAGGAAGAGTAAGTATTTTTTGCACACAAGATGCCCCTCTGAAATACTTTCCTGTCCAGCATGGAATCCTTTTCTTGTCAAGACAGGACAGCAGTGTTTGGGAAGCATCAGCAGGCCAACAGATGCTTAGAATCAAATGACTTAATAGGCATACACAATTTTTCCCCCAAATAATTGCAATGCTTTGGTTTAGCCCTTTGCATACCTTGCATAGTTAATTAGTTAGGCCTTAATGTTTACATGCAATGAGAGTATCTACAGCTATAAGCTACATAATTTATAATTGATGTAAATGGGTGTTATTAAGTCAATTAGGCAGCTGTGTCCTCCACCTCTTGGTAAACAGCTAAGTGATAAACTGAGTTTGTAGAGAGCTACCTTCTTCTCTTCATAACAGATAAAAATAAATTACCCAGGCTGACCAAGCTGTCCAGTTGTTCTCTGGTGAAATGGATGGAAAATTCCAGCCCTTTCTTTTGACCTGTTGACTGCAAGAAGCTCTCAATTTCGTCACGGATTACTTTTATACTTTCTGGGTGCTGAAGAAGAAAATACATCGTCCAAAACATAGCTGGAATGGTGTTTGCCAAGGAGGCCCAGAGAAAGCCAAGATGATGTCCTGGGAGAAAATAAGTGAAAAGGAAGATTAATAGCGTTTATTACACTGATTAGATTTGCAGTGTGCTAATTAAAAGATGTTAGGACACAGACCCAGCCAAGGATCAGTGCATGCTAATGAGAACCAATAGGCTTCTGAAGTCTAATTTTCTGCCTAATGAGAATAGTTTAAAACATAATGTGTGTTGGGGGGCAGGAAGGTGGGGGATTAGATAAGGGGAGTAAAGGCTGCTTAGTTATACTCTTTCTCATTATCATCATTAAGTATCTTGTTTTACCACCTCAGCAAAAAAAAAAAAAAAAAAAAAAAAAAAAAAAAAAAATCAATTATCACAGAGGGTTGTTTCAGAGTAAAACATTTTATCACTAGCCAATTAGAAAGAGCATAAAATTTTTCAAGGTCGCCATTTTTCTTTTTATCTCAAAGGTCTCCTGTAAATTATTTTATTTTAGTGAGTAATCATGTAATCATTCAGAAATTTCTTACCTCCTATTTCAAAGTCTTCACGACTGTAGTATTTCTCCAGAACATCTTGCCTCTCCTTAACAATTTCTGACCACCCGTGAATCTGAGCCAGTTTTTCTGAAGTAAGTTGTTTAATAATTTTCCTCTGCATAGATTTTGCATTTCTTAGAAGCTGAACTGGTATATCAGATATTAAGTACAGGAACACCTCATCATATTTTAAAAAATCATCTTTTATCTTATTGAAAAATTTTTTCTTGTTAGCAGTGGGAGTTTTTCCAAAGATAATTGAAAATGTGGTTTCAACTATCACTGAGCTACAGAATTCATACAGACTTGCCGTATTCCAATCCTTGGAGTTTTGTAGCTGAGAATCAAACGTTTCATTTAGTTGCTTGGTTATGCATTCTAGGAGAGAGTCTAAAGATTTGCCTTGTAAAAGCAGATACAGTTTGTGAAGATCTTCATTAAGTGCATTGTCAGTTTCTAACTTCTTGATGCCAAAGGCTCTTGCTGATAGCTGTCGGCTGAACTTCCAAAAGTTGAATTGTTTGGGGTTTTTCACTATGAGATGGTACTGGAAAGGGTCGAGAATGAACGTCAAATACCTCCCTGGGGAAAAAAAAAAAAAAAAGAGGACATAGTTTATTTGATAGCATAACAAAACACATATCTGAAGTCTGGAAATATTTAAATCAAAGTTAGAGATTTCATCAAGGAGTCAATAGTTTTATTACATGAATTCAACAGGCATCCATTCCACTCAAAGACCCATTCTGTCTGCCATTCCTGGAAACTACAAGGTAAATTTCTCGAAGATCTAAACTTTACTGTCTCTCAAAACTGCCACGAACTTTGGAGACTTCCTTGCCAAAGCCCTGCACTCCTTACTGCTCTGCTCATCTCAGAGAACCAGAACTGCTGAGCAGGAGAGCTGGGCAGGCAGGCACTTCCAGACCCTCACCCAGCCCCCAGCTCAGTTTTTCAAGGCCAGGCTGCTTTCAGCATCCTTTGCATTCCAACTATTGTGTATACTAGGAGGAGTAGGAGGAGTTATGTCTTTTTTTTTTTTTTAGAACTATAGCTTTATTTGCATGATAAATCTGTCTCTTTTTAAAAATAAAGTTTTAATTAGATTAGAAACAATCTTATTTTACATACCAATCTCATTTCCCTCTCCCTTCTCTTCTCTCAGGCCCCCCACCCGCTCTCCATCCCATCCCCCATCCACTCCTCAGAGTGGATGAGGTGTCCCGTGGGGGAATCATCAAAGTCTGTCACATCATTGGAGGAGGACCTAGGCCCTGGCCCTGTACGTCTAGGCCCTCCATTGGAAATGGGCTCCCCAAGTGCATTCATGCACTAGGGATAAATACTGGTTCCACTGCCAGAGGCCCCATAGACTGCCCAGGCCTCCTAACTGACATCCACATTCAGGGGGTCTGGGTCAGTCCTATGCTTATTCCCCAGCTGTCAAACTGGGGTCCACGAGCTCCCCTTGTTCAGGTCAGCTGTTTCTGTGGGTTTCTTCAGCCTGGTCTTGACCCCTTTGCTCATCACTCCTCAGTGTCTGCAACTGGATTCCAGGAATTCGACTCAGTGTTTAGCTGTGGGTGTCTGCTTCTGCTTCCCTCAGCTACTGGATTTCCTTCCTAAAAACACACATTACATTGGGATAATCCCTCAGTGTCTATGTTCAGCTGTTAGTGTCTGTACTCCATTCTCTCTGTCCCTGCCTGCCTGTCTATCTGTCTTTGTGTAGCTTTCTTTCTTAGATGAAGAACTTCCCCATGTGACTTACAGTAATTCCAAATGTGCATAACTTGAACATATGCAAAAACTGCATAACTTGATCAATTGATAGTTTAGATAAAGATTTGGAATCATTGTCAAGCAAATCCTAGTGTCAGTATAAATGTGATCTTATTTGGAAATTTAAAAAATAGCTTAAGTGTTAAATATCTATGTGGATTATATATGGTGATTCATTTCCCTTACAGTAATTTTTAGCCACTCCATTTTCTTTTGATTCATTTAACAGGGCAAGGCAGACAGAAGCAAGAAGTCGTTTGGAGGTGGTTATTCATTCTGGTTGAATACTAGCGCTGCCTTCTTTAAAGTAAGCAGAGTTTTGTTTTCATTCTTTCTGTGTTTCACCTCAGGAACATCAGAAAGGATCACTTTGGATCTGGGCACTTTAAATCACTTGCTACCATTATAACTTAATTAAAATTGCCAGCATCTGTCTGACAAATAATCAGGAGTGCTGGAGTCGATTTTCTGATTTTTCAGAAAAGATAATATTAGGCAAAGGCATGTATTTTCACAGGTGATGATTTATGCATTCTTCTTCCCAAATGAATGAGTTTTGTTAAATATGAATCACTTTTCAGATTAGTATCCAAAATTCAAAGTGTATATACACAAAGTTTAATTTATAAATCACAATCTTTGGGCAATATTTTGAATATTTTTAATCAATTTTTTTTTACATTCATTTAGATCCAAAGAGAAATTTAAAAAAAAAATGCATCACTCCAGGCACTATCAGCTGTTACAACGTGGTCTTTGAAGCGGAGGCTGGATAAATACCAGATTTCTGCTTTGTCTACAAGTCATTAGAAATATACATATTTATAATATCTCTCTTTCTCTCTTTCCTATCTTTCTCCCCTCACTCTGTCTCTCCTATTTTCTCCCTTCCTCTTTACCTTCCCCTTATCTGAAGAAAACATCAGTTCCATTTCAAATGAAATATCAACAGGGAATGTGAAATAACAAGTCAGCAAAGAAATTTAACCTACTGTAAAAAGTGATTATGTGTGTGCTGTATGGTGTGTAGGTGCACACGTGCTCTGGGTGTACATATGCCACAATGTGCCTGGGAAAGCCAGAGGACAACTTTTGGGGCTTGTTTTTCATCTTTCACCTTGTTGCTTCTGTTATTGTGCTATGTACCCAAGACTGAGTGGGCAGTGAGCTTCTAGGCAATTTTCTTTTCTTTGCCTCCCAGTGTGTGTGTGTGTGTGTGTGTGTGTGTGTGTGTGTGTGTGTGTGTGTGTATGGATCTGAGTGTGATGTTGAGATCACAGATGTGCAGAACTGTAACCCAGATCCAACTGGGGATCCAACTCAATGATGCTTCTGTGACTACTTTTACCCTTTGAACCAGTTCCCTATTAAGACATTTATTTTTTTTAAAAAGTAGTTTTTTGTCTCAGGTGTGTGTGTGTGTGTGTGTGTGTGTGTGTGTGGTGTGTGCTGTAGGCATGTTGTGTAGCTGTGTGCATGTACATGTACACATGGAGTGCAGAAACAAGCACCAACTGTCTCCCTCAACTAGTCTCCATCTTACTTTTTGAGACAAAATCTCTCACCGGACCCTAGGCTCATCAATTCAGCTGGGTTAGCTGGCAAGTGAGCTCCAGGGAATCCACCTGTCTCTGCACACTTATGGACACACTCCTCCATCCCTGGCTTGTATGTTGGTGCAGGGATCAAAAACAAAACAAAACAAAACAAAAACAAAAACAAACAAACAAACAAACAAAAAACCAAGTTCTTAAGCTTGTGTATCTTGTAGGGAACAAAATGAACATCCCCCAAGGTTTGTAATACGTTCTTTAAGGTACCATCATGGAGACGTTCAAACTAACTTTTTTCTGTAGGATCTGCACCTTTTCTTCCTTATTGCAATTTTAACTTTTTCCCGGACAAGGCATTGCTTTCTTGCCATTTGCCTCGCCGCCTCCTTCTGAATGAGAGGTGGATCACTTCAGAACTGGACATTTTGGTTTTCTGACCATACTTTTCAAGTTGGTTTGGAAGAACCAATAACCCTGGAGATTTTAGCTGGCTTTCCAACTTTTAATCTTCAGTATAAACAATTTAAGCTACGTTTTCCAAAATTAATATTAATTTAAACCATCTGTCCACCATCTGCTAATGTGAGATGCAAAACTAGAGTTTCTTTGTGTTCTGTAATCAGTTAGGAAAATACATATACATTTATGAAATGAATTTAAATAGCATAACAAAGGAATTTTTCTGAAAAGTTATCTTGAAGGCTATGGTTGCTCAGAGAGAAATTAACTTTTGCTTGGTGTGATTTTTGGGTAAATGAATGCCGTGTCAACAGGCATGCATCCTAGTTCACAGAGATCCCAATGTAGAAACCATACCCTTTGCCATGTTTTCAAGAGAGGAGAATGCTGCTAGAAGTGTATATAAAATATTGATTCCAAAAATTTTTGAGTTTGCATTTGTCTAAAATGTAAACATCAAAATGAGGTCCATGTCAGAAAAGATACAATATGAAATACTTTTTCTGTCCATTAGGTTAGAAATGGGGCCAATAATTTTAATATCTTCCTTGCTGATTCTTTCATTTTTCTTCCCCTTTTTGGAACACACTTTATTAATCCCAGTATTCTTAGATAACCCATCAATGATTTATAAACCAATACACTTTTTTCTTTCTTTATATTATTTACTAAGAAGGCTAATGCTACATAATTCAAAATAATTTGGTAGATGTGTTTTTTTTTAAACATAAATTTAATTACCTGGAAGTCTTATACACAAGAAATCTGACTTTTAGATAATAAGTGAGGTTTGCTGTTTTTATGTTGACTTGGTACCAAGTAGATATAGACCTGGGAATTCAAGTCAGTTGGTTAATGAGCTTAATAAAATATAAAAAATAGTTCACTTCAAATAAGTTTTCTAAAATTATAGGATTTTAATCTCCTTGTGCAGGTAATTCTCCAGCAGTTTGTGGGTTGAATGTCACCCTGTGAGCATCAGTTGAGAAGCTGAATTACATTTGCTGAGAATGGCTGATGTTCTGCAATGACTGTCCTTTATTAGGGAAATTTCTCTAGCACTTGACAGTGATGTACAGTAGAGCTTCTCTGGGGTGACATTTAGGGAAAATGATTCCATTGCACTAACACACAGAAACCAACGAGAAAACTGTTTTTCTGGGGCAGGACATAAATTTATGTGCTTTCTCATGGAAGGCTGTACCTTTTAATTTCTTTATTAAGGTGACAACTGTGTTCCATGAGACTTTTGGGGATGACAATTATTTAAGCATCCCACAAAAACAAACAAACAGACATCACTCACTCACTAAAAACACATGACAATGGCAAGGACAAGAGTGGACAAATTGTCCTTCATTTTTTAAATGAGCTATATCACAAACTGATCACCAAAAGTGTGTATTCACAGGCCTTTTCAATACGGATGTATTCAAACTACTGTAAGACACAAGGCCGTGGGTAGGTGGGGGAGTGGGGGCAGGCAACAGAACCTACCCAGTGGTGGCAGTTTATAACCGAGCTCAAAAACATAATGATGGCTCAAAAACTTAATGATGGCAAAACTATTTAGGGAGTCAGGGTTTAAGACCATATTTGACTTTTTAGAATTTAAGATTAAGATATGATATATGAGCACAGGTTGCTTGATTTTGTTTGGTTTGTATCTGTGTATGTGTTTATATGGACTTATGTATTCATGTACGCTTGTAAACAATAGAGGGTAACCGAAGTTGCTGTTCCTCAGGTGCTACCTGCCCTGTTTATTTTTAAAAAAGGCTCTCTCACCAGTACCTGGGGCTAGCTGCCTGAGGGTGGCTAACTAGACAGAGAGTCCACAGATCCCTTCGTCCCTTCCTTCCCAGTATTGGGATTTTAAGTGTATAGCACCATGCAGCAAGCACTTTACCAACAGGCCTATTTTCCCACGCTTCCTCTTTTATAAAATACAGTATTGTTTTTTCACAGGAGTGTTGCAGTTGGTAGCAAACTGAAGAGCCTTTTGCCTAAAGCTCCCAAATGCTGAATAAAACCATGTTAACAGTCTACAAATTTTTGTTGAAACACTTTAGGCAACTTTTGTATAAGGTCTTAAAAAGAGAAAGATGGAAGTTGTAATAATTTTTGTAATGCTAACTGGAAACTTGAGACTGCATTTTAAAGTTATTTTTGTTAAAGTTTTTCTTTGCAGATTTAGTTTGGCACTGAGTGCAGCTAGAGCTGAAGCAGTGGACACACCCTTTATCTACATAACAGAATTAATTTCATCAACTCTAAGATATTAGGGATTTCCCCCATCAAACATTTATTGTGAATAAATCAGCACTGAGCTCGGGACTAAACTGGAAAGGAGACACAGAAAAAGAAGGAGGTGGCCAGGTGAATCGGTGGTAAACACTTGTCTTGTGAGTTGCACCAAGCGGAGGTACTGTGGGTAAAATGGGTCCCAGTGAAGGGGTTCCAAACTTCCTGGATATGTCCAGGAAGGGATCTGAAGAGAACGTGATTTACAACAGGGACTCACAAGTCAGTTGTGAGCAGAATTCTGGCAGAAAAAGTCAGGAGGAATGAATGACAAAGGCATGAAAGCATGCTATGCGTGTAGGAATGTCCCATCAAGGATGCATACTACTGACACTGTAAGCAGAAGGCATACAGCAAGAAGGGATGGGAGCGAATTAGATAGGGGTCTTGGGAAGATCAGGTAAATGTTATGATTCTTTCTAAGATGCATGCTTACTTTCATTTCCATTTTTCTGAAATCACAGCTCATGCAATTATCATTGGAAGAGCTTTTTCAGCTGTCAGGAGATAGAGTAAGTTGTAATCAAACTAATGTTGCCTGTTCCTGGGTGAGTTAAAACTAACTTTGTGGATGACTCAATAAAGTTGGATCTCCATCCTTTTATTACTGAAATGATACATTTACATGGCAGTCAGTACGTACATAAGTTTGCGCCTAATCCTCAGCAAAGCAGTTACAAGCAGAGAATAGCACTAGTTCTTTAGGAGTAGAATAGACATGCTGTAGGAAAAGATATACTGATATAGAAAGACATGCATACATAGGCACAATAGGAATGCTCGGAGTCAATAGAGGAAGCTGAAGTGTCAGTTTCAAGGCATTTGGTAGCACTTGGATATTTCAGGAAGAAAGAAGAGATCAGTAAGTCACCAAGAGAGACTAGTTAGGCTAGTTTTGACCATGAATAAGAGTAGAAACCTGGGCACCCCTGGGATACTCTAGAAGATAAGTTACCAGAGACAGCAAATGCAAGTTGCTTTCTAAAAGTATCTTGGAAATAGCAATAGAGAGGGATATAGAAATATAGATAGAGGAGGAAAGGTGGGAGGCAAGGAGGGAGTATACAGGAACAGGGAGAGGGATTGCGGGAAAGAGGTAGGAAAGAAAGGGAGGAAGGAAGAATGGAAGGAAGGAAGGAAAGAGAGATGGAGGAAGGAAAGCCAGAGAGAAATTTGAAAAGGAAATGAAAGTAGCAAGCAGCAGACATATGATATGGCTCTAAGCTAATGACAAAGATCCCATAGTGAAGAAATGCAGGCATGAGAGGAAAGACTTGTGATGTAACAAGTCATGGGGACAGGTGTGTTTTTAAATCACGTGGAAAAGTTCAAACAACCGTGAAAAATTTAGATGCAGAAATGCACTCCAGGCCAGTGTTTTACAAGGCAGGGCAGGGTAAGAGAAATGACTGTGGAGAATTTAGATTTTTAGGGTGGAGAAAGTATTCTTTGCAGTACTGTGATGGTGTGTGCATAACATTATACACCTATGGAAAGCCAAACAATAGCACAAAAAGGAGACCATAAAGCAAACAAGGAAGCTCAGTAACTTACTCAACACTAGCACATCAGTTGGAATGAATTTGCCATACTGAGATGAAATGTTATTAGGTGGTAATCTGTGACCAAGAGAGTGGCTATTCAAACTCGCAACTGTCTGCTGCACTTCCTCACACTACTCAAACTGATCTATAAAGAAATCATTCAAAGCACATCCTAGCTCTTTTCTTCAAACTCTTCTGAAAGAACCCAAGCCAACCCAAAACAAATCGGGAAGTGAGGACAGGAGAATGGGGGTCTAAGGGAGGCAGGAGAGGGTCCCATAACCAGGCTGTACACACGGTCGTCACCGCAATAATACATGCTGTTCTTTTGCATTTGCTGTACAATGCTGGACGAACTTTCCACGTTTCGCCCTTGAACAAATGTGAAGACATTAAAGAGCCAGCAAGAGATTCTTCCCCATGCGAAGTACTCAGGGCAGAGCTCCTTACCTGAAAGCAGAATAGTGAAAGTGTCACCGTGTTTCCTTTGGAGAGATTTCATGAACAACAGGGGATTTTTTCGGAGTTCCAGAGCAACACCAAGATAAGGAAGCCAGCCTTTTATCAAGGGAGGTTCACCAGGTCGCCTATGAAGAGAAGAAAAGGAAAGAAAACTGAAATCATCCACGTGATAATAGATGTGTATTGTATATCCAGTCTAAATAAACTGCACAGATAGAGAGACTCTTTCAGTCCACCTCTTCATCGATTCTGTGACAGCATCGACAACATGGGCTTACAGGTTTTTTTCTGTTTTTGTGGTTATAGGGCAGGTTGTTCAGTTCCCTACTTTTGTTAAGCAACTTTTGACACCTTTTTTCTTACAAGGATTCCACAGCTGCTTGACGGCTAAGCTACAATCCAATGTATTTATGACATGTTCAGTTTCCCATCTATACTCCTGATTGGTCTGTGGCTAAGAGGATCAGAAAGGTAACCAAATCGATTCATAGAATTTATTTTGCAAAATTGTTAGTTTGGTACAATGTTGATTTAAAAAAAAAGTTGATTGCTGCTTTTTTTTTTTTTTTTTTTTTTTTGTCTTTCACCATTCATGCTATAAACGTTACCTACTTAACCTAGTAAGAACTAAACTTTGTTACTTTATTTCTTTATGTTTACAATTTTTATTGTATTTATATGGGTGTTTTTTCCTGCATGTATGTTTGTGTCCCATGTGACTGAGAAGGCCAAAAGATGGCATTGGATACCCTGGAAGTAGAGTTACAGACAATCATGAGTCACCATGTGGGTCCCGGGAACAGAACTTGGGTACTCTCAGAGAGTACAAGTGTTCTCAACCTCTGAGCTTTCTCTTTAGCAAGCCCAACTTTGTTTTAACTAACATTTTTGGTTGATGGGTTGTGTACTTGGCAAGTGTGATGGCTGGTCTTGACTGTCAACTTGACACACCTGGAAGGAGAAACCTCAACTGCAGGATAGCCTCCATAAGATTAGCCTGTGAACACGTCCATGGGGGCAGCTTCTTGATTTCTAAGTGATGGAAGAGGGCCCAGCCCACTTCCATGCGGGCCCTTATCCCTGGGTAGGTGGTCTCAGATATCATAAGACAATTGGCTGAATCTAAGCCTTAGCCATAAGGAGAGAGAGGGAGGAAGGGAATGGGAGACGGAAGGAGAGAGAGAGGGAGCAGGAAACAGGGACAGAGGCAAACAGCAACAGGTATGATCTCTGCCTCAGTTTCTGCTTGAATGATTGGCCTGGTGTCTCTGAATGGTGGACTGTAGCATGGGATTATAAACCCTCCTCACCCAAGTTGCTTTTGCTTAGAGTTTTATCACAGTGCTAGAAAACAAAATAATTCATGAAAGTAATTGGGACAGGTACAATAAGATAGAATTAGACTACTTATAAACAATGCATAGCAATAGCTAATTTTACTACATAGATTCTCACATTTTATTTCTTAGTATCATGAGATGTTCAGTTACATGAACCCAGTCATTTAAGTCCCAAAACTTACGCAGAAGCACTTACATTGTCCCACAAATATAGGGTATGAGTTCACTAAATCTTAGTAAATCTCTTGTACTTATATATGCTAAAAGCTTTAGGGAAATGGTACACTTTGGGACATAAGGATTTTGAATGCATCTTTGTGAATTTTACACATTAATTGGAGAATTATGCTCTTTTGAATGAACAAGTCACATTGTTCACTGTGTATGTTTTTCATTCATTTGGTTGATCAAAGACTTTAGAACCAGATATCACCTTGAAGGCTTTAGTGTATTCTCTTGTTTTCGTGGCCAAAGGATCTCAGGTCTCAGATGTTAAGATATTTGCCTCAAGGTTAAGAACACGCTGTAAGCTCTGTAGCCACACAGTGTGCTTTCAGCCACCCAGGAAAATTTGTTAATCCATGAACCCAATAAAGAACATCTCAGCAATGTAGCCCTGTGGCTGAACAGATAGACACATGCAATAAGCACAGTACACTGCAAATCTGAGAGCTCTTGCTGTGCCCTGGGTGTTAGATGTCACACAGTTTAGTTGCCAAAGTGAAGTTCTTTGTTATCAGCTGTCAATCAGGCTGAAATTGCATAATTGGAAGAGCACAAATAAATTAACTTGAAAAATATGTTGTGCTATTGAGAACAATAAAGATGCCAGGATAGAGCATGGAGGACAGCTTGGAGATAAAGTGCTTGCTCGGTTTGCCTGCATGAGTCTGCATGAGACTCTGGGTTTGAATCCTGGCACCACACAAAGAAAAAGAACCCCACAAAACCTCAGCATAATTGTACCAAGTTTTACATTTTCTTATCATTTTATGAAGAATTTTATTGAAATAATGAATTCAGTTAGGATTATTAGTTAAGTGTTACTAATAAAGTAAATTTTAAACGTGTGTGAAACATTCCTTAAAATGCTATGAATTAAAGTTTCTTCTTGTATTTGAAACTTTCTTCCAGTCACTTACCTGGTAAATGCAATCTGGCAATCTGACTTAAGTTAAAAAGAAGACAAATAGAATAATCTCCCCTTCCCCTTTTTTTCTATTCTGGAAAAGATCAAAACAAATATTCAAAAGGATTTCAATTCTCTGGTCTATCTGTGTACTAAGTGCCTCATGGACTCCATTTGGATCAATCACAAATATTACTTGCTCAGAGCTAATCAAAGATCAACCTTATGGCCATCTCAACAAAGGTTTTTATGTAGCTGTATTAACTCTATCAGCAGATCTTGCCTGTGTGTGTGTGTGTGTGTGTGTGTGTGTGTGTATGTGTGTGTGTGTCAGGGTGTCAAAGTAAAATATGAGTTTCAATAGAAATCAAGGGAAGATTTTGCTTTCTTAATTGAAATGCAGTTTATATGATTGCAAATATAATGGATATGCCACTGTTTAAGTATATACGTACAGACACGTGTAAACAAGTCACACTGCAGAAAGAAAAAATGTGGATCTTACTCTTCATACTCTTTCCCTATTTTCTCTTTTAATTTTTTAAATATAAGTTTTGATTGTAGGTAATTGTTCCAGTTATCTTGTTTGTTTGTTTGTTTGTTTGTTTTTTGCTTTTTTGTTTGTTTATTTTTTGTTTTTCCATAACAGGTTTTGCATTGTTTTTTCAAGGTCTGTAAAGAATTGTGTTGGAAGTTTGATGGGGATTACATGGAATACTTTGATTGCTTTTGGTAAAATGGCCATTTTTGCCATGGTAATCCTACCAACCTATGAGCATGGGAGATCCCTCCATCGTCTGATATCTGCTCCAATTTCTTTCCTATAGGACTTGATGCTCTTGTTAGACAGGCCTTTTATTTGCCTGGTTAGATTTATGCCCAAGGTTATTTGTGGCTATTGTGAAGGATGTTGAGTCTCTGGTTTCTTTCTCAGCCTGTTTACAATTTGTATATGATAGGGCTACCGATTTTTTAAAATTAATCTTGTATTCAGCCACATTGCTGAAGATATTTCTCAGCTGTAGGATTTCTTTGGTAGAATTTTTGGGGTCCCCTATGCATACTATCATAACATCTGTCCTACCTCAACTTGATACGCCATGCTTTGTTGATTCCCATGGGAGACCTGCCCCTTTCTGAACAGAAACAGAGGAGGAATAGGTTGTGGGAGGACAGAGGGGAGGCATGGGTGGCAGTTGAATGGCAGGAGAGGAGGGAGGATAACTGTGGTCAGTCTAAAACTAAATGAATAAATTTAATTAATAAGAAAGTTGAAACTGTCTCTCTGTATATACATACATACATACACACATACTGCCCAGGCTGGCCTTGAACTCAGTATGTTCTTGCCTCTGCTTCTGAAACTGTACTAGAATACAAGAGTGTAGCACCAACTCCTGGCTAGCTCATTATTTTCTTGAATCCAGCTTTCCACTCAGAGCTGGGGTTACAGACACAAGCCACCACACTCAGCTTTTTACATGGATGTTGGGATTCCACACTCAGCTCTCATATTTATTAGGTAGACACATCACACACTGAATCATCTCCTCAGCCAGTTTCTAACCAAATATTAAAGAAGAGACCACACATACAAGTAGAGAAGAGGCCCTCCAGGTTGGAATTTGTTACACAACTGGTGGCAAATTCTAGAAGTTTATAAGCATTCTAGTTCACAGCATTTCCTTTCAAGATACTAATTCAACTCATTTCCTTGATCTACTTTTACTGTGTCTGGTTTAATGTTGCACTGTAAATACAATTTAGTAAGGCCTTTTGTCATATCCTAATTTAATACAAATAATGTCATCTTTCATGTAGTCATTCAACCAAAAGCTGTATTCTTCATGGCACTTCCACAGGGGAAAGGACAGGATGCAGAGATCCAAGAGAGTATTAGTCTTGTCCAGAATTAGGGAACAACATTATGATGCCATTTTATTGTTATAGACATGGCAGTGTCGTCATTTCTTACAGAAGTAAGCTTAAGATTATTAAGCACTGTGTCACAACTGTACACAATTTGTTCAACTTATAACCCGTCCAAGACAGATGACAATCTATCTTTATTGTTGAATTTGTAACAATTATGTAAGGAGGAGAGATATCACCATATTGGTCCAGAACGACCTGTTGTAAGTTTATGGCACAGGGCAACTACTGCTATTTGTCTTACTCATGATCCATGACTTTAAAAATGAACCATCCGTTGCTCTCTATTGAGTGAGGACACAGGATGCTCAGTGCTACCTGTGGCTAATAAAATCTAGGGGCTAAAGCGAACCTGGGCCTAATATTTTAATATGAAGTTTAAAAGCCTATAGTATATACTCTCTGTTGATCTCACTTTAATAACATATATGCTCTCAAATTAGTATTTAAAGTAATAAAAGGACATATCAACCATATCTAGTTGAGCTTTTCAGGCATCAAAGATAAAATCCAAGTTCTTTGCACATATAATTTCATCAGCCCTTGGGGTTTCTTCCATTGGTGCTTGAGCACATTTTAACATCTATACAAAATGTCAAGTCCAAAGTTATCTGAAAGTGAATGTTGGGGAACAATCCAAATACAGCATATAAAATGTTTCAGACTTGTTCATTTAAGAATAGACCAACACATTGATTACACACAATATTTGAAGTTCATCTTT